ATTAATTCATTTCATCCATCTGTAGTTTTATAAATTTCTTAGGAGACATGTCTAACAATTTCCTTATAGGGTAAAAAACATTATTTGATTCTCTGTAACTCCATAAATATCTGTTTACTTGGAATGCTTCAATATTAGTAAATTATTTGGGTACGCTGTATCCATTGCAAAATTTATCTTTGAGAATACTGACATATAAAACCAGTTGGTTTGTTGGCTTTAGCTACAGCTTAGAGATGTCAAATTTTAACAGACTTTTGCCTTAATGCTTTATATGATTCAGGCTCTGTTATAACCTTGAGAGTAAATAAGATTTCGAAAATTTCTCGACCTTTAACACCGTTATTCAGGGTTAAAATTCCAAGTTTTTAAGATGTCAGGATCTGTCCTTGTTTTACTTCGAGACAGTTTATCCGTACAACAGCAGAATACCGTAAATCCAGTCAAGGATTTGTTTTCCTTTTATACGAAGAAGGCTGTAGCTCCAGGAACTTCTGCTAGGTGTTTAAGACAAATATTAAAGTTAGCTGGTATTGATACTTCTATTTTTAAAGCCCACTCAATTAGAGGGGCATCAACTTCTTCGACATTTAATGGTGGTTGTTCATATTCAGACATTTTGAAGGCTGCAAACAGGAAATATGGATATATATTTGCCAGGTTTTACCACCAGTATGTGCGAAATTTGTTTATTTTGTATGCTGGCTGCGGAATAAATAATAAATGAACTACTAATTTGTTTTAGTTGTTATTTCCTTTGTTGACAACCCTTTAAACTATGCAATATAAATCCGAGATGCCCGAAGGGCATATATGGAATATAATCCCCCTCTCATCCTAGCGCCCGAAGGGCGTAATGGATGAGAAGGATTATATGAATATATAGCCCGAGGGCTCGAGGATTTATCTTCCCTCCCTTGAGCCCTCCCTGTGCTATATTCGTCTGTCAACAAATCTTTAAAAAGACAATACTGAAAGTGTTGTGATAGTTTATATAGAGCGTGGTCACGTGTTTATACACGCCGATTCGGTGAGCTATTTTTTAGCCTTTAAAGTTTGAGCGATTGTGCATGGTTTGAAAGAACAATGAGAAATATGCAATATAAATCCTCGAGCCCTCGGGCTATATATTCATATAATCCTTCACATCCATCACGCCCTTTGGGCGCTAGGATGAGAGGGGGATTATGCTTTAACTTCTACCACCGACAAAGGGATAATAGGCCTAAAGCATCTAAGTCCTATACCGGTAGTTTTAGAAATAAAATAGTCTCCATGACTAGTTCAAATGAAAATGAAATGTTCGAGAGATAGATAAGTCAAATCGATTATATATATCTTTTGGTAATCATGTTGTGTCGGGTACTAATCAGCAATCCATTTACAGGCGTAGGTAATACTTTTGTAGCCAGTCAGATTTCTTCTTTTTTTTTAAACAATTGGACTATCTTTACATCCTATAACTGGATTCTAAATGCAGTTAGCGGGTACCGGTTTGAGTTTCTTCGGCCACCCTTTCAAATTCGGTTGCCTAAACCACCTCCATTTAATTCAGAGCAGATGAAGTTCGTTGATTAATTAAATGTTGAGTAAGAGGGCTTTATGTCCAGGTGTTCCTTTTATTTTTCATTCCGATCAGTTTATTTCTAATATCTTTTTAGTTCAGAAAAAGACTGACGATTATTGTCCTGCTATAAACCTGAAAAAATTAAACATTTATAAGTTATGAACATTTTACACCGGGAACTGTATGCTTTAAGTATAATACATATCTATCACCAATGGATCTAAAAGATGCTTATTTTTCTATTCCTATTCATCCAGATCATCCTAAATATTTGCGTTTTATTGGGTAAGACCAAATGTTTGTAATTACATGTCTCCCTTTCAGAGTTTCCTCTATCTAAGGGACGAGCAACTAACTCAATATTTTTGATAAGTTTTCAAACAACTTAAACCCGTCAGTCTTCATCTAGAAATGGAGACCGGTGTCCCAAGCTGTATTATGCGGTGTCTGGATAAAACTCAACTTTTATTTTATAAAAATAATGTGTAGGTGAAATTTGTATTTCGTTATCAAGTAGAGCACATGGGCCATTCACTATATAGACCACTCAAGGAACGGGAATCGATTATCAGGTCACCCAACGAAAAAACCTGACACAAATTCTTAAAAGGGTTACGTGTCCAGATAAGCAGTTTTGACGTTCATGTCCAAACGACTCAATATTTTGAGCTAGAATTTTGAGAGAAGGTAAATACACCATTCCTCTATATTTTGGCGCTTAAATTTCATACGTACACCGACTTTTATTTTTGAGACTCTCTTGAAATCGGGATAGTCCCTTTAAAATGCCGATAGCGATGAAGTGACCGTTACTTGGGGTGATATTTCTTTTTAAAAGTTATATTTACATTTATTTTGATCATGCTGCCAACGTGAGGGACTATATTTGTGTTTTATTTTTAAAAAAAAATAATTTGGGGATACTTGTTCACGTTATTTTACCATTATGACAGAGAAAACTCATAATTTTAGTGGAACTGACTTTTCAATGTTATTTATAGTAATATAATTTCTACTTTGTAAAATTGAATTTTATATCATTGGAAAGAACACGACAATCTGTACATTTTTGTAACAGGGTATTTCTATGTATAGAAAATATTTTTTTAGTTATTTGCAATTTTGTAGAGGGTATTAGGATTAACAATAATCCACTAATTGGCTTAGGAAATGGGCCCTGCTGATTTAATTAGCTTAGGAGTAGGGTAGCTAATCTTTTAATTGGCTCAGGGTTAAATGGGTTAACAGAATGTAATTATTCATATGGGTATTTCCCTCAATGACGTTTGAGTAAACTGGTGGTTACATATAACATTAGTATTTATAATAGTAACCATATAAGGCCACCCCTCACTCTTATGTCTTTACTTTGGATGGTTCTCTATATGGATGGGGTGCTCACTCCAATGATATTCACGCCTATGGGCTTTGGAATAGTTCAGGATCTCAATAAATTATCTTGAACTGCTGACAGTTTTCTATGGATTTAGATCATTGTGTAGCAATTTATTTTTTTGAAATAAGCAAACAAATTTGGTACTGGTGTGCTTCTAGAAATATTTATTTACCGGTATCTGCTAAATATATAAGTATACCTTATAGCAAAGCCGATGCATTATCTTCAGATGTTAGGAAGTCTTCTCAACTTCTTGTATCTCATCTTACACTCATTCAATTCGTTCAATTTCCACATCTGCATCTTTTAATTCTGGTTGCTCTAATACAATCTTAAAACAGCATCATGGAACAACTATAAGTTTTTTACAAGTTCTACAATAGATCTACAGAAAATAATGCAATTTTTTTAATTATAGGGATAAATCTTAACAGCTTATTTGTTTTCTCTCAACCATGGCGCGATGGATGAGAATGATTATATGAATATATATGGCTCGAGGATTTACATACCCTCCCTTTAAGCGCCCCCCCCCTTCCCCAGCGCTATATATGGTTGCTAACAAAACTTTAAAAAGGCAACTAGTGCCGAATCTTACCTCTTATTTATAGTCAGGCGGATGTTGATACACTACTGCACATGTAATTGTGTAATTTTTAGACATTAAATGTTGAGTTAGTATACATATTTATTTAGGTCAATGAGAAATATGCAATATAAATCCTCGAGCCCTCGGGCTATATATATTCATATAATCCATCTCATCCATCGAGCTCATGGGCGCTCGGATCAGAGGGAAATTTTTAGATGAACATATACTGGGTTCAATTGGCTCAAAAATACAAGTATTCATATGTTTCTTACGTAGTACTACCGACAATCTCGGGATAGGCCAAAATGTGGGTCTATATCTATTACTTTGTACGTCCTGGAACACTACAAAATCCAGAAAATATACAGTTGCACCAAATTTATTTTGGTTTATGGCCAAGTAGTGTGCAAACCCCGCCACTCACCTGCAATCTGATTGCAGATTCGTAATATACACTAAAGGTTCTATAAGACTGAAAAATTTGAGCCCTACACCTTCTCTAGAAAGGTCAAAACAAGATTCTGAAAATCGGGAAAATTATTGATATATATTTTGTTTCGAAAACTTATTGGTAATTCATAAAACTCAAATGCCCGTATCTCAGTCAATTTTCAAGCTACAGCCCACAAATTTTGCACAGTTTCTACTCTTACAAAAACATATATTGTTTTCCAGATTTTTCCAATAGGATCGACTTCCCATCCCTGGTCCACTTGGCATGGAATGACCCATGAATTCAAAACTGTGCTGTCTGAATTGTAATTAAAACAGATTTGTGCTGACCAATTACATCTGTGTTGAAATCACTGCACTGGCTTGGTGTCTCGGGCAAGAACCAAATTCAGACTTCTTTCTGTAACTTATTGAAAAATGGAACTGCAATCCATTCCAACTCTGAGCCAATTCAAATCCCATCTGTTCAGACTCTATGATGAGATATCAACATGTACTGTGCTATACAAACCACTCTATGGATCAATTGAAAATAGAGTAAACAATAAAGTGGGGAACCCCTTGGGACTACATCTTATCGTTAATGCCATCAGGTGCGAATGTTCTCAAAGTGTGAATCCATTTGAATTCATTGGCTTCCTTACGGCATCGTTTTTGCCGTTATCTGGGTCAGTCTTAAAAAGCTCTATAATTTTAATCATAACATTTCTACTTGTATGTTTATCTAAGTTGAAGTGTAGTGCGACCGGCTTTGGCCTGTTGTGTCTAATAGCTGCATAGTGTTCCTTTATTCGTTTTGAAAAGACACGTTTGCTTTCTCCTAACGTACGTATTGTTTTTTGGAGGAGCATGTTAATAGGTAGACTATATTTCTACTTATTGAAAATAGTCCTTTCTGATTCTGATTAAAATAGTAACTGTATTGAATTTACAGATATCTTTTGTATTAAATTATTATTCCACCTTATCTATGTAGAGTTTTTTTTATGTAGAACCACCAAAGCCACCGGGCAAGATGGAAAGTAATAACATACCTATTATAGTTGGAAGTGTTGTTGTTGTATTGCTGGTAATTGGTATTATTGTTGTGGTGATATGCTGTTGTAGGAAGGGATACTGTTATTGTTGTAGAAAGGGATACTGTTATTGTTGTAGAAAGGGTAAGTTATAGTAGTATTATTGGTATATTGCTGGTATTATAACTGTTATTGTTGTGGTGATATAATGTAGAAAGGGTAAGTTATAGAAGTATTATTGATATATTGATGGTATTATAACTGTTATTGTTGTGGTGATATAATGTAGAAAGGGTAAGTTATAGAAGTATTATTGATATATTGATGGTATTATAACTGTTATTGTTGTGGTTATATAATGTAGAAAGGGTAAGTTATAGAAGTATTATTGGTATATTGCTGGTATTATAACTGTTATTGTTGTGGTTATATACCGTAGAAAGGGTAAGTTATAGAAGTATTATTGATATATTGATGGTATTATAACTGTTATTGTTGTGGTTATATAATGTAGAAAGGGTAAGTTATAGAAGTATTATTGGTATATTGCTGGTATTATAACTGTTATTGTTGTGGTTATATACCGTAGAAAGGGTAAGTTATAGAAGTATTATTGATATATTGATGGTATTATAACTGTTATTGTTGTGGTGATATACTGTAGAAAGGGTAAGTTATAGAAGTATTATTGATATATTGATGGTATTATAACTGTTATTGTTGTGGTTATATACCGTAGAAAGGGTAAGTTATAGAAGTATTATTGATATATTGATGGTATTATAACTGTTATTGTTGTGGTGATATACTGTAGAAAGGGTACGTTATAGTAGTATTATTGATATATTGATGGTATTATAACTGTTATTGTTGTGGTTATATACCGTAGAAAGGGTACGTTATAGTAGTATTATTGATATATTGATGGTATTATAACTGTTATTGTTGTGGTTATATACCGTAGAAAGGGTACGTTATAGTAGTATTATTGATATATTGATGGTATTATAACTGTTATTAGTGTGGTATACCGTAGAAAGGGTAAGTTATAGTAGTATTATTGATATATTGATGGTATTATAACTGTTATTGTTGTGGTTATATACCGTAGAAAGGGTACGTTATAGTAGTATTATTGATATATTGATGGTATTATAACTGTTATTGTTGTGGTGATATACTGTAGAAAGGGTACGTTATAGTAGTATTATTGATATATTGATGGTATTATAACTGTTATTGTTGTGGTGATATACTGTAGAAAGGGTACGTTATAGTAGTATTATTGATATATTGATGGTATTATAACTGTTATTAGTGTGGTATACCGTAGAAAGGGTACGTTATAGTAGTATTATTGATATATTGATGGTATTATAACTGTTATTTTTGTGGTGATATACTGTAGAAAGGGTACGTTATAGTAGTATTATTGATATATTGATTGTATTATAACTGTTATTGTTGTGGTGATATACTGTAGAAAGGGTACGTTATAGTAGTATTATTGATATATTGATGGTATTATAACTGTTATTAGTGTGGTATACCGTAGAAAGGGTACGTTATAGAAGTATTATTGATATATTGATTGTATTATAACTGTTATTAGTGTGGTATACCGTAGAAAGGGTACGTTATAGAAGTATTATTGATATATTGATTGTATTATAACTGTTATTAGTGTGGTATACCGTAGAAAGGGTACGTTATAGTAGTATTATTGATATATTGATGGTATTATAACTGTTATTAGTGTGGTATACCGTAGAAAGGGTACGTTATAGTAGTATTATTGATATATTGCTGGCTACTGGTGAGAGCCAGAATAAAATTTAAAATTCTCGTCAACACCTACAAATCAGTAATAACCAAAACAGCTCCTAATTATATGGTGGAAATGTTTAATGTTTACACCACTGGCTGAACTAATCTTCGTTCAGGACGTGACAAAACCCTACTTGCTGTTCCACGCTTTCAGGGCCAGGTGGGTGAGTTTTCATTTTCCTTTAGGGGTGCCAAACTTTGGAATGAACTACCCAGAAACATCAGAGAGTGTACCCAACTATCTCAGTTTAAATCTAAACTGAAGACTCATCTGTTTAATAACTCATATAAATAGAATCATGTGCCTACCATTGTACAGTGTAGATATGACTGTACAGCGCTTAGAAATAACTATTGTTATAATGTAGCGCTTTAAAAATAAAATTATAATAATAATAATAATTATAACTGAAGAGCCCCGGGGAAGAACGCTCTAATTCACTCTTTCAACGAACCCCAGTTTATGGCGCCATCTGGTCGCAATTTGTATAAGCTTTCTGTGGCACAATCGATTTCAGGTAAAAACGATCGGAGTCACATCGAACCAAGGCCTTTCTGAAATGGCCTCTCGGACATATACGTCCATCGTACCCTTTATGTGACCTTGGTTGAAATGTGGACGTCAGTTGTTGTACTGGTAATTATGATTCGTATTAAACATCATTTTGAAGTTGTAATTAAACCCACTCATTGTTCTGTTCGCGTCAAGCATTCTCGTCCAAAAGGTTTTTTTGCCTATTATGCGAAAAGACGAAAATGTGACTTAGATCGTTTTTCCCCGGGGCTCTTCAACTGTTATTGGTGTGGTAATATACTGTAGAAAGGGTAAGTTATACAAGTTACACACTTAATTTATTTTCATAATATGAACTCTTTGAATAACTAGAAAATTCAATATACAGTTGAGTAATTCAGTTTAGGAAATTTATATTTAAAAAATGCTTTACATCAGTCATATAAAAGTTAAATTCAAGAACCCCTTTCTATTTATGAGATATCATATTTGGTGTCCTAGAAAAAAAATTAAGCCTTTTGCATGATATCAAGCAAGACTGTTTATCATTGATTGTTTTGTTTTTCACACAGCAAAAAAAGACAGTTCCCAAGATAATGTGTAAGTATATTTATAGGTTTTAGAGTAAATCTAATCTGTCACAGTTCTGTGATTCCCTTTTTATTGGGTACAGAACTGAAACAATGTGAGGAGTGTGAATCAAAACGGAGATTTGACAAGTACTAATTTTATTTACCTCATGTTTGTCCCAAAATATCATAATTGTGCAAAGTGGATGCAACTCAATAGTTATATATATTTTTTTGTAAATTCACCTATGTCTCAGACATATTGTCATTCAGTTAAAGTTATAAAGTGATAATTACAGTCCCAAATATTGTCCATCAGTGACTGATTATTAGTTTTTATCCTTGGTCTTTATTTCTTGCTTGAATACGAGGGTACCAAAATTATTAAACACTGAAGAGGCACTCTCATCCAGAAAATAGATGTTATTAATTTTGAATAATATTATATTTACGATAACCTTAGATTCACCTTATTATAGAATAAACAAGAAATGACCAGTGATGATCAATTCAGAGTAATGTTAGGAGTTAAATATACTTCTGGACAACCTCTCCGTAAGGACTTGAAAAATTTCTCTAAAATTCTTCACACAAGAGGTGGAGACTTTCCCAGCGATAATAACTCTTTAAATAATAGATAAATATTATTTTATTTGTTTCATGCTTGCTTGTTTCGCTTTTTTTTTTCGTTTTATTATGTTTTAATTATTTTCAGTCATTTATCAAACAAAGAGAAGAAAAAGAATGAGCTTGGTAATGAATATATTTTATTATTTCCCATATTTTTGTTATTCAGTGTATGTAGATGATAAGATGTCTTTATTGTGTACAATTTAACGGGTTTAACCAGTATTTTAAAACCAGAAATAATGATTCACTTATTTATCATCTGATTTGAAATTTTTGTTTGTGTATTTGTTCAAGGGTTATGAAATAAACAGATGGGCAAATCCAAATCATTGTATGATAAACTGTAAAAAAAAGAAACAATTCTTGCAAAATTAATTTCTGATTTAAATTACCGTACATGCTCTATATGTAATTATGGGTGCAGGCTGTTTCTTAACCTGGCTGTTTCGTACTTAGTTCATTCGTACCTCACTTCGTAACTCAAATTGATTCGTACCTTTTCCTATGCTGTTGAAATCAGTTGAAAGAAATTGAATATGCCGAACCAGAATTAGAATATGCACGAGATTTGTACCTCAAATTGATTAGTTCCATCTCCTAAATCCAACGGCTGCGCTTAATTTATAAAAGTGGCTGCCGAACCAGAATTAGAATACACATGTGATTTGTACCTCAAATTGATTCGTACCATTTCCTATAATATGTTGTAGAAATAAATTGAAAGAAATTAAAAGAAATCTTTATGTTGTTAAAAGAAATTGAAATAATAAACTATAGTCTGGTGTTGACTATCGAACCCAATCTGCCCAGTGAGTTGTGATTATTGACGACAATTGATTGGTGATTGTTAAAGCAGTTTAAAAAACGATTGAAAAAGTATTTAATCTGGTGTTGATTATTGAACCCATTCTGCTGGGTTGTGATTGTTGTGATTTGTGATTATTGACGATAATTGATAGGTGTTTGTTAAAGCGGTTAAAAACGATTGAATGTACTAAGAATTTCAGAATGTGACACGCAATGTATTATTCATTACATAATAAACCTTAAATCAATTTAACTCACTGTAAGGTGGAACTGCATGCTTTCTGTTATAGTTGGGTTATTTGAGCCTAAAAATATCATGGACCGTATAATTATACGGTTATATCACGGGGTAATTCTGTTATTGAAACCCAACTGCATGAAATTGGCTTTCGATCATAAACGATGTAAATTTAGTGAAATGCTGAAGCAATTTTAGTTTAATTATATCCTTTGTGTGTGAATTACTACTATTGGGTAGGCTGTGTAATATCAGTATGGAAATTTCTATTATTTTTTTTAAATGCAACAATTCGCTTTTTGTTATTAAATCATTGTAGCTAATTAATTCTCTTTTTAATATTTTAACAGACTGTGGTATATGATTTAAATGTTTCATATTCATGTAATTATCTATGCATACAATTCGCTTTTTGTTATTAAATCATCGTAGCTAATGCTCATTCGGCAGAAATTTTTATAAATATAGCACAGCCGTTGGATTTGATCAAATCGTTTATTTATGTTTCACCTTTATATACTGAGCGCCATGGAAAACGCATCACTTTTTTTCCCAAATATTTTATTACTAGGTGGTTTTGTATGTATAATATTATGCAATACTATGAACTATTGTTTCACACAATGCTCCCAAACGCAAAAAATATCGGCCCGTGTGCACAAAAAAAATTGCACGAGATGCACATGAAAAACCCAATATTCACGTGCAGCATTGTGTGTGAGCCCTTTAAAAGCATGTTTTCAACTTAATGTGCAGTACATGAACTGTGAAACGGGGCCATACTTTATACCGGAAAACAACCGGAAAACACCGAAAACAACTGGAAAACACCGGTAAACACCATTTTATACTGAATATCGGAAAACACCGGAAAAACAATAAATACCGGAAAACATCCTAAATACCGGAAAATACCCTAAATAGGTAGCCTGGTCCTCTCCACAATTTTGTTGATGCCTATTATGTTTTGAATGTTTTAAAAGACGCAATCAGTCTACCTCCATCATTGACCATATTTTATTTTGTATTTTTGTCCCCCGCCTTTCGAAGAAAGCAGGGGACTATTAAAATGGGTTCGTCCGTCTGTCTGTCCGTCACACTTTTTGGGACACAATAACTCTCTTCCTAATTGAGCTAGAATGTTCAAACTTGGTGTATGTGTTTATTAGGTCAATGCCTTGATGGAGTTCGAAGATGAGCATTTTCCGCTTAGGGTAAGCAGAGATAAGCAATTTGATTGGTTGATGCTTTGGGACACGATAACTCTCTTCCTAATTGGGCTAGAATGTTCAAACTTGGTGTATGTGTTGATTAGGTCAATGCCTTGATGGAGTTCGAAGATGAGCATTTTCCGCTTAGGGTAAGCAGATATAAGCAATTTGATTGGTTGATGCTTTGGGACACGATAACTTTTAATTGAGCTAGAATGTTCAAACTTGGTGTATGTGTTTATTAGGTCAATGCCTTGATGGAGTTCGAAGATGAGCATTTTCCGCTTAGGGTAAGCAGAGATAAGCAATTTGATTGGTTGATACTTTGGGGCACGATAACTCTCTTCCTAATTGAGCTAGAATGTTCAAACTTGGTGTATGTGTTGATTAGGTCAATGCCTTGATGGAGTTCGAAGATGAGCATTTTCCGCTTAGGGTAAGCAGAGATAAGCAATTTGATTGGTTGATGCTTTGGGACCTGATAACTTTAGTTCTAATTATAAGGGAGAGTGAGGACACTTGGTGTATAGCTTTATTATATCAATACCTTGACTAAGTCTCGATAATGAGCATTTTCTGCTTAGGGTAAGCAGAGCGATAAGCAATTTGATTGGCCGAGACTTTGGAACACATTAACTCCTTTTCTAATTGAGCTAGAATGTTCAAACTTGGTGTAGGTGTTTATTAGGTTAATGTCTTGATGGAGTTCGAAGATGAGCATTTTGTGCTTAGGTTAAGCAGAGATAAGCAATTTGATTGGTCGAGACTTTAGAACACAATAACTCTCATTCTAGTTGAGTTAGAATGTTCACACTTGGCATAGGTGGCTATTAGGTGAATGCCTTGATGGAGTGTGAAGATGAGAATTTTTTGCTTAGAGTAAGCAGGGATAAGCAATTTGATTGGTTGATGCTTTGGGACACGATAACTTTAGTTCTAATTAAGTGAGAGTGAGGACACTTGGTGTATAGCTTTATTATATCATTACCTTGACTAAGTTTGATAATGAGTATTTTCTGCTGTCATGTCATGGCTGAGTTCAATTATTAACATTGGTCGATGCTTTGGGACAAGATAACTTTGATTCTATCTGATAGAGAGTGCTCAAACTTAGTGTATAATTTGATTGCTCGATACTTTTGAAAAAAATAAATGTGCGATTAATTAATGTGTCATCTATTTATTTTGGGATTTCGGCGGGGGACATCAGCCTCACTGTTGGCTTGTAATTTTAGTTTTCAGTAAATTTCAGTAGATTTCAGTATTTCAGTAGATTAAACACTGCCCTCGGAGGGCCCCATTATATGCCGGTTGCGCCGATCTCCTGATTCTTACCAGTAACGCTGGCATCAGGGTGGTACGAATTAGTAGAAGGCACGACTAGGCCAACTCCTCCCTAGGTAACAAAAAATCGCATCATAAAACAGCAAGTATCATCAAAAGCGAGTTAATAAATCTCTGAATAGTTCGAGTTGAAGTTCCAGGTTTAACCGCTATGTGTCCTAATCACCAAACGAAATGACAGGCTGTAATCTGAAAAGTGTCTATCCTTTCCAAGAGCTATCCATCTCATTGGAAGGGTTAAAAATCTACTTGTTTCTGAGCTTACTTTCATTCCAGGGTCAAATATAATCACTTGAACCATAATAATATTCAACATATTCCATCATATTCCGAGGGCCGCACACAGGATTTTTTTCTGGATTACTTTTCAAGCTTTTTTCCCCAACTTGTTGACCAGTTTTCCTTGAGAAAACCCCAACTTTTGCCCAATTATCCATGAGAAAACTACATATTCTATCTTACTGCATTGACGGGAAGTGGTAAGCTGGACGTCTGTGAAAAGGGTTGATCGATAAATTTTCAAGGAAGCAATTGTTGTTTTTGCTTGTGAAATAGAGAGAGAGAGAGAAATGGGGTTTAACGTCCACTCGACACAAACTAGGTCATTTCGGGACTAACATATGGTTCAATTTTATTTCAATAATTCGCTTGCGCGTAGGGGTCTTTAGCAGTGGGAGGAAACAGGATTGTGAAATAGAGGACTCTAGCCGATGAGGCTACTTTTCCCCCCGAGAACCTCAGGCAACCAATTTGTTTTATGTACTACTATCGTAATAAAACATTACTACGTTCACCACTTCCTGGTGGCTGAGGACTTACACCGAATGCGTATTTGGAAAAAAAATGTCCCCGAGAAAATGTTTTTTCCGACAATCGATATTCGAGATGTCTTCTGTTGCACAAATTATGCTGCACTGTGTAAGAACTTGCATCCTTTGATCTGAAGATTGTAGATGGAAAAGTATCATTTGCACTATTTCAAAGTAAACCTGCATTTTCGTATATCATCCCGTAATTTGTGGTTAATGACAATGACTGTGGAAATAATGTGGGTTGAGGAACGGAAGATCTATGTTCGTCACGTGACTGGACAATTCCACCCCCGTCCCACCCTGACAATGATCCCTCCCGGAGCGGCGTGGCGCGGCGCACTCTCTAAAAAAATCTCGGGCACAGTTTACTCTTCTAAGTTTTCCGGTAGCTATTTAGTAACCCGGAGTTTGGTCCTCGTGTGTGGTTTTGGACCAGGTGAGTGCTGATGAAATAAGTTCATTAACATACAAGCGAGCGATCGCCTACGGTCAAAGAAAAATTTCTTTTCAGATTTATTTTAACAATTTCTTAACAAGAACACGATAGAGATTAGATTTCTTGATGAATGCTAGATCCTTATTCAATTTATTAAACAACCAAGTTTTCCTTTCGAATAATCTGCTGTTGAGGCATAGATGCTGTGTGGGCGTATCTCCACACTTTGCGTGGCTATCGTTCAAATTTCTTTTGAATCATTAGTGTCATAAGCAGAGGAACCCTATTTATTTTCGGCCGAACAACGAACCATATTGATTTGCAGCGCTCCCTGCCTTTTTGTTATGGCGTTATTCCTATTTTCCGGTAAACCTTGTGAACGGGTTAGAGCCCAGAGTTTTTCAAGATTTTTGATTTAAAATCTGCTCCGAAGCATTTGTGCCACAAGACAATAAACACTGTGTCTAGCTTTATTCTAAAACAAAATATGGTCTAAAACCCTGCAAAAAATGACAAAGCTAACGTGGTAGGGTTTTGAATTTCATATTTGTTGTGAAGTATTTTGGCCATAAGACGATGAACTCTATCGATTTTAATCATATTTCAAATTTAATGTAAATCATGGGTACCCTATCGATTTTCCGTTTATTCTTTCATTAGTTAGCAGTTTTCCTTTGTAACAAATGTTAGAGTATTTTTTTTTATATCAAATTTGGTGCGAAGTATTGGGCCAATGGTTGTTTCACAACGTGGAGACACTATCTAGGTCCATTTAAGGTTTCATATTAACTCGGGATCTCGAGAAAATTTACACAGGATGTCAATATCTCGAGAACATTAACTCAAATTCTCGAGAAAATTTACACAGGATGTCAATATCTCAAGAACATTAACTCAAATTCTCGAGAAAATTTACACAGGATGTCAATATCTCAGGAAAATTATCAGGGGATTTCGAGAACATTAAATTGAGATCTCGGGAAAATTACCAGGTGATCACGGGATTTCGAGAAAGTATCACAGGATCGCAGAATCTCGAGACCTTCTACAAAATTTTGCATGACCCCAATACGCTTCCGTAGTTTAGAGAAAAAAAATCGGAATTTTTTTTTTTTTTTGGGGGGGGGGGGGCTGCCGAGACTTACTGAAAATCAACGGAATGAAGCCATGGGAATGTCCAGGGCTGGCATGTTTACACGTGCTATTGCCAGACACTTCAATCGTCATCAGTCCACTATTGTAAGGTTGGTGGAACGTGTTCGAGTTACTGGATCAACACTTGACCGTCAACGTCCTGGTCCACAACGCGTTACAACCCAGGCTCAAGACCGCTACATCCGAGCCACTCATCTGCGTGACAGATTCCGCCCAGCGACTCGAACAGGTGCAGCAGTCGTCGGAAGACAAGGACCAGTAAGTGCCAACACCGTAAAACGTTCTCTAAGAGAAGTAGGAGTCCGTGCATGACGACCTTATGTTGGAACTATCCTCAGGGATCATCACTGTCAGCGGCGTTTGATATGAGCTCAAGGGCACCAGACATGGAGAAGAGTAGACTGGCAAAGTGTGCTCTTCAGTGAGTCGCTTTCATCTTTATCATGCTGATGGCCGTCAACGTGTGTGGAGACGTCTTGGGGAACGTCTTGCAGACTGCTGCGTCTTCGACACAAATCGATGGGGTGGGGGAGGTGTAATGGTGTGGGGAAGCTTCACATTTCATCACCGGACCGCCCTACACATTTGCAGGGGTCGCGTTAATGCTGTAGCCTACCTTGATGATGTCTTGCAACCAATTGTTGTTCCGATGTTTCGAGCGCACCCACAACTTCAGCACTTCCAACAGGATAATGCACGTCCGCATACCGCCCGTTTTAGTATGGACTACCTGGCTGCTAACAACATCAATGTCGTGGACTGGCCAGCCATGTCTCCTGACATGGCACCGATAGAACATGTCTGGTATGAGATTGGACGTCGTCTGTATCGGAGACCACAGATGCACACAATTGCTGCTTTAGAAGCTGCTCTTGTCCAAGAATGGAAGAATTTGCCCCAGGCCTTTTTTCAAACACTGGTAAATTCCATGCGACGTCGCTGCACAGCGTGCGTAAGATCCCGTGGAGGACACACACGCTACTGACATCTGTGTCATACTTTTGGTTTTGACCCCTCAGACTTTGTACCGTTGATTACAGATTAAACATCCATAAGTGTACAAATGTGTTGTTATTGATGTGTTCCCATTTGAATATTGTTCACAATAAGAAGCAAAATAAATAAGATATGTTTACAAGATCATTTTGTTATACGTTTTCCATGGCGCTCAGTATATTTCAATTTCTTTCAAACACATTTAGGAAAACAAACTAAATCTCATGCATATTCTAATTATGGCTCGGCAGCCAATTTCATAATTTTAGCGTAGGCGTTGGATTTGATCAAATCGTTTCACCTTTATTTCAATTTCTTTTAACTGATTTCAACATAGGAAAAGGTACGAATCAATTTGAGGTACGAAGTGAAGTACGAAAAATGTGAGGTACGAATAAACTAAGTACGAAACAGGCAGGTTACGAAACAGCTGACATCCTTAATATATAATTATTAACATTTCAGTTATCGATGACAATTTAACATATGAGGGCAGCGATCATTTATTTGGACCCCAAAATGGAGCAGGAACTGGAAAAGGTATGTCATGAATTATGATTTTATTCTTTTATTTATTACTAGCAGGATACCCGGCTTCACTCGGGGGTCATAACAGAACAGACAGACAGGCAAACAGACAGACAAACAGACAGACAAACGACAGTCACAAATATTAGTATACTAGCAGGATACCCGGCTTCGCTCGGGGGTCATAACTCCGAAACCGGAAGTGGTAGACTAACGCAACCTGGTCTATGTTACTCCCCGGTCCGAGCTACCCCAATACCCCAAATTTCAGACTCGGGGCAGACCTAGTGTAGCCGCCAACCCCGAACAGACCGGCTTCGATCGGGGGGTCATAACTCCGAAACCGAAGTGGTAGACTAACGCCACCTGGCCTATGTTACTCCCCGGTCCGAGCTACCCCTATACCCGAAATTTCAGACTCGGGGCAGACCTAGTGTAGCCGCCAACCTCGAACAGACAGACAGACAGACAGACAAACGACAGTCACAAATATATATATAGATTAGTAGTATTAGGGGTTTCATTTTTTTACTGTATGTCATCATCACCTGTTGATGTATAGCATTTCTATACTGTTGAACTATTTATATAATAACAATAACAGAACAAAGATAATTTGACTGATATTTTACATACCAAAAACTACCCACGGTACTTATATCTGATATTCTTGAATTGGTTAATTGTATCGTTGATAACAAAGATAACCTTGCTATTCATGTTAGTTATAATATCAATAATTTATTTTTTATTTGTACAGGACAAACAGATAACATGTAAGTTATATATTATTCTTGTTTTATAGTAACGACAGGATAAGAAAACATATCAAAAATAACATCTCACCTTGGTCTATTGTCCTATTATTAAGAAAAAAGTCACTTCGCTAATAACGCAACGTCCATTAAAACTATCATCAACTGTCTTCATTTTAACACAATAATTGTACAAAAGTATACAATATATCAATGTATACTCAACTTGTGAACAATTCTGCTAGTCAATGTTAAAGTATTTCTGAATACGTTGATCATTTCATCATACCACTAGAACCGATACTAATGATTATGTAGTAGAAAAGTATTCGCTGAGAGTACCTCAACTATCTTTTTTAATATCAATTGATGTACAGGGTTATTAAACTGACAGATAATGAAGCTTTTGAGCTGTCTAAACCTGATTCAGATATTACTGAACTTTTGGAATTCATCTGAAACAAAATGGTAACAGCCATGTCTCTGTGTCCTTTAAAACATGTTCTATCGTAAATTTATCGTATGACTATACGTTCTGAAACGATTTTGGACGTATTTCGAAATATTAACAGCTATCACCCTTCAATAGAATTAATTGCGAAAAATACTTTGACGACGAGTTTACTTTCACTTAAAAACAATTTCCCGATACATTTGTTTTTAAGTGAAAGTAAACTCGTCATTAAAGTATTTTTAAAGAATAGTATACCCATCAACTCCTTTTTGTAAAGGTAATAACATGACTTAATGAATAAGATGATGTTATTTTCACCTGATGGCCTATACCTTTAATTCGACAAGAAGTGGCGTGTAACTTGACAAGATTCAAATTACTATAAGAAACAAAATATTTTGGTGAAAAACCCTTAATATGATGAGTGTCTAAAGTCAGGGTACATTTTGTAACAAAACAAATGGCTTTTTTCTGCCCCCAAAACTGCCCCTGCCCGTTAAAGATACATTATAACAGTTCAAAAGTAGATGATGAAAGAAGAATATATTGAAAAATTCAGTCAAATTACTTTATTCTGAACATAGTTATCATCGTTGTAATATTTGACTAGAAATGGTAGCGAAATGCGTCTTCACCTTGGCCGACCGTTTGATTGACAGGCGTTAACTCCACCTACATATCTCGATTATCAAGTAAAGTTTTCAATGGCATACGGAAACGCTTTACAGCAGCCTCGCTAAGTACACTCTATCATTTAGCCTCGGGGGGTTGGATGGCTGAATGGTTAGCACGCACGCGCTGTATCATAAAGTCTGTCATTGAGTCAACTGGCGTGGTTTCGAATCCCTGGTTGTACGTGACAAGGAGTAGGGTCGCCTGTCCAACCTCGTGGGTTTTCTCCGGGTCCTCCGGTTTCCTCCCACTGCTAAAGACCCCTACGCGCAAGCGAATTATTGAAATAAAATTAAACCATATGTTAGTCCCGAAATGACCTAGTTTGTGTCGAGTGGACGTTAAACCCCATTTCTCTCTCTCTCTCATTTAGCCTCGATATAACTGACGTATTTTCATCAGGTTGCCCCATACTTGATTTAATCAATTCGTGAAATCCTATTTAAATCCGAGCTGTAGTCGAGCCATCCGTGGGTCTACAGAGTTGATTTTGGGCTTGTTGTTTAAATAAAGATCGAATTTATAATTTCTATAACATTTGAAGCCTAAATTAAGACTTGCAATAATCAGATTTAGCTCTTGCATGATGCATGTTTAAAGAAGCTGTTTAATGATAAGCCATCAATCAATGGCTATTAATACCTTGATCAGTTACATTGAATTATTTTTTATTATATTTTAGTCCCATGTCATCTAACGTAAAGACAGGAAATGATAATAAAATGGGTAATGTACTTCTTTACTGTGTTCGAATCTTTTCTTTTTAAATCAGTTGTATTTGTGCGGAAAAAATATTTCAATCTCGAATGTTTTAAAGTTTTGTTTTCTCAGTGGAGTGTGGCAAGTAAAAGATAAATCAGGTTTTACATAAACAGTACCTCTACTCCCCCACTACCCAACCATCCAGTTACCCCCTGTCATTCTCCCCTCAATACCCAACCCCTGTCATTCTCCCCTCAATACCCAACCACCCACTCCATCCATCCCTACCGTTCTTCTTTTATTCACTGTTATTACAATGTTTTATTTTATATTTTATGTTTATCAGTTATCGATGATAATGTCTTGTATGAAGGAAGTGATCATATTTTTGGATCTCAAAATGGAACTGAATCTGGAAAAAGTAAGTATCATAAATCATTTGTCTGTTGTGTTAAAAACTACAATTTATCATCTCCCTGTCTTCAATTCGTCTTGGGTCTGGTACAGACGTATTAGGTCTAGTGGCAGGGATAGTATGGCTGGTACAAACAATTCAACATGGAAGATACACTTCTTTTCATCTTGAATATTTCCTGTTAAAAAATATTAATAATATTTAAATCTTGAGAGATGTATCATAAAAACGTCGAAATTCATGCATACAATCATCAGCCACACTGCCGATTTTCTCGCCAAATTATGCACATCTGAAAGATGATGAAGAAAATGCTTGTGGAATAGTAAATGGAGATATTAAATAAGAGTTTGACGATGATGCTGTAAAAAACAAAAAACCTATTATTACCAATATTCATAGTTTGTGATCGAGTAGATACTATAATACAGATTATTATTAGAGATTAGGCTGGAAGGAGACACTTCGAGCTGTGGAACAAAATCCGAAACAAATGATTTTTGTAAGTAGGTATGTACAAAGTATCCCAAGAAAAAAATCCACTGCAATCTGCCTTGGGCGTGACTAAGTCGACAACATCGTAGAAGACGAACCTATTTGATGTTATTACAAAAGTCTTTGGAGTTAAGTGAGAATAAAAATTCGAAAGGTTTTGGGCTGTTTTGTAGAAGACAGGGTCTAGGGAGCACACATATATGCATGTAACCTGGTTTTGGGTGGATTTTGATGGCGGCAGACGTGTCTCGGGTCTTTGGTTTGATGAGTAGAAATGGGGTCTTTCGTTGCCCATATGTAGTTTGATTGTTCTTGAAGAGTGTTGGCAATGCTGACGCAGTCAGGTGTATCCATTATTATAGCTACTGAAAATACATGGGAGTGGCCATTTATGATTCTATGGAATATGTTGATTGTTTTCAGGTACATTTTATACTTTGGTCATGTGGTAATGTACATTAGCTTTTGGGGAGGAGTAATTAGATTTCTGACTGGGATGCCCCACTATTGAAAAGGTCTCGCCATCGCCATTCTTATGCTGAGTATTTTGCAAAAAGTTTCGTGTGATAAGTAAATGCGCCCATCTGGCTTTGGTGTGGGGAAATAGGAACGTCTGGATGGGACGTCAGGAAGTTTGCCCAATACTACCCAACATAATTGAAGTATTATGTTAGTTTCCCACAATAACGAGGTAGTATTTAGATAGTATTGGGTAGTAGTGTGTAAATCGCCCAGCCCGGTGGGGATACCCCACCACTGAAAATGTCTAGAGGTGGTCTTTGTTAATACCTGTGAATTTGCTGAACATTTTTCAACATGTTTTGAGTGGTTAGTAAATGAGCTGGTGGGGTGGGGCGATTAGGGACGATGCTGAACATTATGCAACAAATTTCATGCAGTTGGTAAATGTGCTGTTCTAGCTTAGCTTTGTGGATGGGGCAGGGGCATTTATGGGTGTCTTTACAATTAGAATTTCCCAACATGCGAATTTACTGATTTTGTCAATGGTCTTATAGCGGAAATGCATTTGTGATGCACAAACATATTCTCAGCATGACGAAAAAAGTGACGAAAATTTTTGGATTTTATAAGTCGATTAGGTATGAAAACCAGAACGCCTGTCCAAGGCCAATTTTAGTGGATTTTTATCTGTAGTTGTACTCATATAGACCTTTCATAAAAACAAGAATCATTTGTTTCGGATTTTTCCCCCAGCTCACCAAATCCAAAGTTCTCTTACCAGCCTAAGACCCGCTAATCTTTCTTTATATAGATGTAGAAAGAGGAATATTTGGTCAAACAGCTTCATCTGAAGTTAAAAGAAACAGCACTACAGGTGGCAAATCAAAGAAAAGTAAAAAACCTCCAAAGAAACCAGGTAGGGTAGCTTATTTTAGTTATTTTACATCAGTTCAACATTAATTAAATATATCTATGCTGTTTCAGTTATAATTCTTATTGCTATTCTGACAGTATCTATTCTATCAGGATAACTCAGTAATAGCTTTACTGTAGACAGTAATACTGCTATTCTAACAGTATCAAGATAACCCAATAATAGTTTTACTGTAGACTACTGCTAGTATTCACCAGGAATACACATTATTTGATGTATACGTGTTTTATCAGATCCTGAAGCTATCTACACAGAGGTTATTAAGAAAAAGACTGGTCAAGATAATAAAACTGCTAGTGCGGAGAGAGGTAGACCAGTAAAAAATTCATATTATGCATGTTTTCTGTTTTGTTCAAATATTATACACATTCATATATCTTCTCAAGAATATAGGCAACACATTCTAGTTTAAATTCTATAGTATTTAGTCAAGGTCTACCTTCCAAATATCTATCAGTGTTCGCACACTTTGTTCCCAATTCTTTTTAACACTAATTATGGCCAAGACAAAGAGAGGGTCGTTTGTATTTTGGAATGGTGATTATGCTCCTTTGTTTTTTCTGTTTGATAATCTTTAATTGTTGCAAAGTTTCCTACATTTTCTATTTGTTTTTTGTCATTCAGTAGTCCTTATAGAGCACAACATTATTCATGTGAATAAAGTTTGCAGAGGTTTAATTTGCATGAGCCCTTACTCTTTATCTGTACTTGACTCTTCCACCTCTAGTCTATCCTATTTTAAATCCTTATATATTAAGGAGGCAGTGTGTTACTGACCACTTGGTGTCCCTCAGTGCTTCCAACTTTTTTTTGTTATCTCTGTACTTTTTATATATAATCTTGTAACTGCAGTAGCTTTTGTTAATTTTAACTTTGTAGAATCTTGTGAATATTCTACCGATAAACTCATGTTGTGATCTGCTTAAAATTTAGATACACTGTTTAAAATGGTGACATGAAGAATACGTATAGAGTTTCAACAATTTCTGTTAAATTATATCTGACCTATCTGCGTGAATTTCTTTTTTTATATTTAAAAAGGCTCAATTTGTGGATATTTTATTAGGGTGCATCTGAAAGCAATTCTAACATAGCCTACTAATAAGTAAGATGTGATAATGGAAATAAAGTAACATTTTGTTCAAGGTTATAATATGGAAGCTGATGTTTGTGTCTATTGTAGTAATATAGATTATATTCTTTGAACTGTTAATTTATCAAATATTTTTCTTAGGAAATTATGAAAACTCTGATGTCAAAGCGAAACCAACTATCCAAAGGTAAGTTAGCTTCTTTGTTGTACAAAAATAAAAAATGGTGACGAAATTATACATGTGCCTGAAAGTCACTGAAGTCAGAAACATATGTCTGGATGTCAACAGTTTAAAGGACAATATTGGTGTCAGCCATTATTATATATTTGACAGAACTGGTTAAACAGATTCCAATTATAATTTCAACACAGAAACCATTGCAACGGTAGGTGTGTAACAAACATTTGAAGAAATAGGAAGTGACGCGAAAAGCGACAAACACAAGTTATCCTTCTATATAACTGACTGAAGTAACGAGACTGTGGGAGAATATCTGACAATTCAAAAAAAATAATTGGCTGTCACTAGATAAGAGAAAATGAGAAAAATAGAAAAGGCCCATGCATTCCCTTGCTTTTTTTATTCATTCTATACTTAATAAAAACACGGTAATGCAAGGACTTTTTCTAATTTGTTTGTTTTCTCTTACCTAGTGACAGTCAATTTTTTTTATAAATTATCAAATCATATATCAACTTTTCGTCTTCAACGGGATTATCAGTGAAATGAAATTCGCTTGCGTGTCTGTTATGGCTCGTTACTTCAGTCAGTTATATAGAAGGATAACTCGTGTTTGTCACTTTTTGCTTCACTTTCCGTTTTTTCATATGTTCGTTACACATCTATCGTAACAATTATCTCTGTGTTAAAATTATCTTTGGAATGGGTTCAACAAGTTCTTTCGGATATGTAATGATGGTTGACTCCAATATTGTCTTTTAATACTGTGTCTGTTATTATGTATCAGTATCAGTATCGCAACATATTATTACGAAAATCAGACTAAATAATATTCTCTCAAAGTAGTGATATCACAGACAAGTTAGTGTTAGACAGTCATAACCCCTGTTAAATAGCTGCTTCCAATAGTAATACAAGGATGGGCCAGACAGTCATAACCCATGTTATATACACGGTAACATGCATAGTGTGTAGAACCTATCTCTAAGTATTGACTAACTGGCCTATGGGTTAGAATATCTATATATGAAGTAGAAAGGGTTCAGTGTGGTTACTATTCATGGAAATTCGTGAGAAATATACTTGTTGTCAGTAGTCGCTTAAACCCGTCAGTATTTGTACCGTACGTCAGTATTCCTATAAATGGTCAGTAATAATCATAAGGTGAGTATTTAAGTCAATTGGTTAGTATTCCTTACTTGTGTCAGTATGTAAAAATAACGTGAGTAATTAAACAAACGTGAGTTAAGCCGACCATATCACTAGTCAGGCGCGTGCGGGAGAAATAATTAAGAAACCGTCACTATTTGACCTCTTGGTCACTATCAGAGTGAAACCGCCAGTTATCTTTGATTTGCGTCAGTAACTGGATCCGACGCCAGTAGAGCGTGAAATCGTTAACTATATAAATTTTTGTTAAGTATTGTTAGTGAGTATCGTCGCTACATGCTGAATAAATTATTAATTAATTATTTACTAATATTCTCGAATCGGGAAATGTTTTTAAACAATAATGGATGACAGTCAACAATAGGAATATTTGTCGGCGATTTCTGCAGAATACGGCGTAATGTGTAGTGTTATTTAATTTACAATTTATATTTATTCTCGTTATATAACATGCGGATTGGCACATGTTTTGGGACTTGCGGCACATTGATATCTGTATGGATTAAATTTGGAATCACTGTATGCATTAAATTTGGAATCACTGTATAGATTAAATTTGGAATCACTGTATGGATTAAATTTGGAATCACTGTATGGATTAATTTTGGAATCATTGTATGGATTAAATTTGGAATCACAACTAATGGTTAAAAAAAAAGATCAACACAAATCTGTTTTCATTAATTTTATTTAAACAGATAATATGATAGCAGATAACAGAAATAATGAATTTCATATACGTACATACAAGCTGAAATTCTGATCACTGAACAATCGTGTGAATATCTATATACATTATTAATGGTATCTTCAGATTTGCAACATATTACAAACCGATTCCTGTTGGGTTTTTTTTAAAAAAAACCCATATAATTCAAACGTCAACCCGACCATTTCAAGAATAATTGTCCGTGTCAAGGCGACTGCAGTTCGATTGCTTTATTTAAAAAGATAACTGATATTAAACTATACAACTGACTGAGCTATTCAGGGTTCATATTGGAAATATTTTGGTGTCAAGGCAACTGGAGTTCGGTTGCTTTATTTAAAAAGATAACTAATATTAAACTATAAAATTGACTGAGCTATATCCGTTTGAGGTTGTTTGAGGAAAAGCAAGTTAAAGATATCGTTTTGTTCTAAAAAAAAAATCACATAGCAACCACGCCATATAATTGTTAATTTTTGTTTAATAGTTCTCTCGGTGTTATAATTTAGAACAAAAGAGAACATTCCATACATTAGTAATGTAGGTCTTGTATATTAAACTTTTATGGGAATAATTTTTTTTAATCTCACCACTTAATTAGCACCTTGGTGTTAAATCAGGAGATTAAGAATGTTGATTGGGTAATCGAGTTTAGCTTCTTGATTATCAAAGAAGCCGTCACAGCTAAGCATATATTCTGTGACCTTCGTAACATGACTCAATTAAAATAAGGTTTTGAACGTACGATAGGTGTACTTTTATTTTCAGGTACCGGAATGGTATCAGAATCCGAACCCCAGATAGGGTAATGAACGTAACCATGATATCACAATGGTGTCTGGACCGCACATTTTAATGTATTGTATGGGTTTTAAAACTCGTTTCTATTCGTTAAAATTGGGATTATCGGTAATTCATAAACTAGAGATTCACGGCTTCACAACGATGCCAAGTATTACTTAAGGAGACTGATCGGTCGGCCCTCTGCATTATCTATTTTTGTAATATAGTTAGAATGGCCAGCTCTTTATCTAAATCTTAGTATTGAACATGCTTTACGTTTCAATATTCCAGACCCACTGGTTGATGGCTATCTTAAAATTTTGTGGTTTAGTTAACAGGAATAGAGATGAGAAGAACGAGACAGAACAGATACAGGTAGACGAGGAGAAAAAAAAGCTTTTGACCGAGCGCGGCCATTGCTCCGATGATGGTAATCTTTACGAAGAAAAGATTGTCACAACAATGAAAACGCAAGAAATGAAATGAGGCTTAATGTCCTGGGCTTATGAAGACTGCCATTAGTCCATGTGGCAGACCTCGGATTTCGGAGTATCATTACCAATTTGATGAATAAATTCAACCATGATTTTCAGTTAGCCTGGTGCCCGAAGTGTTCAAATTTGGTTGATGGACTTCCGGGTCACTTTGCTAAATGCCATTTTGGCGGCCATCTTTAAAAATGGCCGCCGTTTTTTCATTGAAATTGAGCGCGTCAAGGAAACCTTCATAACTCTTTCACAGATTGACCTATTGATATGGAATATGGCTCAAAATGTTCGCAATAACATTCTACAGCTGCTGTTATATGACACATGTTGGTGAATGAATCATATATTTTCCAAATCAACAGATTATTCTGAAAAAAACAACGTTTTGGCATTTTTTTTCAATATTTATTTTAAAAGTTTACTACCAAATCATGTTCAGGGTAAATTTAGCCAAATTTTGTGTCTGGTCTTCTTAAGTTATTCATTTGGCATAAATAAATACGGTCAGTGACCCAGTCTGTACAGCTGCGGTGGCCGCAAACTCAACAAAAGTCTTGAGTAGACTGTCAATTTTAAAATGTTGTGCCTCGGCGAGATAGGGTACTAACCATGTGAACGTTTATTTAGGGTTGTCGCAATCACACCGATATTTGGGGACCGGTTGTTTCTGAAGAAAAATTTGTCACTGAAGACGATTTTGATAGTGTGTCACTTCTGTGACGTCATTTTCGGTTGAATCAGTCTGATTTCCAAAATGGTCGCCAAAATTTGACGAAAAATGAATTTCTTGTTAGGATGGATGAGTATCACGCAAGGTAAAACTTGTGATATATCATATATAGGGTTTCCGTAGTCATTGTACTTACAATTGATCTATAAAATTAGTTTCCCAAAATCCAAGATGGCGAAAATTCAAAATGGCAGTCAAAATTTGCCTAAAATGATCGATGCCTCGGATAATCGTCATTTTACAGTTTGATATGCCCTGTAATGCCGCTTAAGGGGTTTTCGATGTCACAAAACTTAAATACAACATCTAAAAAAAGGATTTCCAAAATCCAAGATGGCTAAAATCCAAGAGTGCGGCAAGATTTTCCCTAAAATGAATGATTTTTCAGATAATCGTCATTTTTCTGTTTTGTACGGCTTGTAATATGCCATTTATGGGGTTTTCAGGATCACTAAACTTAAATATTACCTCAAAAAAAGATTTTGGATATCGTAGATTATTGCTTAAGAACAAAACGGGACAATTGTCAGTCTTTCTCTTGGCTTGGCTTATTATAAAAATGTGTAGTAGTTTTTTTAGGGGAGGATGGAATTAATTATACCAGATCTCGTAAATCAGAAAACAAGATTTAATAATATTCCAGCAAAACTGTAAGGAATTTTAATATATCTTTGCAAATATATCTAGTTGTTAAGAATTTATCTATTCTGTTTGTTTAGAAATTGGCCGAAATAGTGGCTCAGTGGGTAAGGCTCAACGAGGTCCGGAATTCGACCCCTGTGTCTGGCCAAATTTTACCTCATTTCACACTGTATGACGAATAGCCATCTTCATTGACCAAGTTTAGAACAGTAGGACGTTAACCCACATTGCATTTCATTTCTGGTCCACAAATGGTAATATGATAGATTTTTACTTTGAAGAGTCTGGCAACCTTTTGTGGTATCATCTAGAATCTAGCCAGATGGTATCATGGATTCATATTTGTCAATTGTGAAAGTGTAAAGTGTAAAATGTATTTCACAACAAGTTCTAAGTTTAAAAATGATAATTACAGACATAATTTGAAATACATTTACCCAAAAGCATGGCTCACGATTTCCTCTTTGTTAATGTCACAACCATCCACC